CCCCCAGTCACCCCCTACAGCCCGTACTGGGTCCTGAGCACGGACTACAGTAACTACACCATCGTTTACTCCTGCACCGACGTCCTGCGTGTGTTCCACGTGGAGTTCGCCTGGATCCTGTCCCGCGCGCCCTCTCTGGCCCCCGCCCAGCTCCAATCGGCCAAAGATCTGCTGGTCAGCGAAGGAATAGGCGTCTCCGGGATGAAGCCCACAGACCAGAGCTGCAGGGACTAGTAGATACACGGAAAAACTCCCAGAATTCAGTCTGTTTCTGCCTGTCTGCGTTAAAAAAACGAAGTTTTTAACCTTTTTAAAATGTATTTTTCCTCGTTAATCAGCAGGGAAATGCTTCAAATGAAATAGTTTACGTATAAAAATGAGCATTTTGTTGAAAAAGGTCATTTTGTCTTCTTGATTTGTTATGATTTAATTACCTCAAACTGGAGAGAAATCTTATTATTGACAATCTATGAGTGACTGATAGCTAAATATATGAATTTTACTATGTTTATGCATTTGGTGAATTACAATGCAAACATTATACTCAAACAATGTATTTGACCTTTTATAATAAATAAAACATGCATAATTGTGCTTATAGAGGAAATTCTTGGGGACTGTGGACATAAGATAAATGTGTTAAAAGGTGCCCTGTGTATTCATTTGATTGGTCCCTGAATTTTTTGCTAATTTTGGGGTGTTTCCATGAGTTACTGGCCTATTTGTCATGGAAAAAAGTGTATTATTTTATATATATATATATATATAAAGGTCTATATATATACATATATATGTGTGTGTGTGTGTGTGTGTGTATTCATATGAATAAAAAGCTACGTGTGAAAATGTGTTGTTTTCCTTGTTTTCTGTCTGTTTTGTATGAAGTGAAGTATAAAAAGGATCATTTTAGCTCAGCTTCCATATCAGGAAAGGGGAAAAACAGCAGGAGGACGCCTGTCAAAGCTTCCACACAATAAAAGAAATGATCAAACAGTTTGTTATATGCAATTTTAATACTTTAATAATCATCCCGGGAAAGTTTTCATCACCAAAAATCAGCACTTTATCTGTTTAACTTCATTAAAAACAAAAACCCAACACTGATCCATCATTCAGTCAACGATCTATAAAAACACTTTCCCTTATTTCACACGTTTTTAAGCAAATAAACAGAATTTAACCCTGTAATGCCAAATGTATCATATTTGATTCATACTGTTTCTGAAATTCTGAAATGACACCTTTTGTATAATTTAATTTAATTTGATACACCTGATAACAGGGGGCAGAAGACTACACAAAAAATAATCTTGACTTATTGCATAGTAATAAATTATTAATATTGAACATTTAATTTTAGTTTTTTCTTTTTACATATTTTGTTAAAGGCCAAATAAGGAATTCAAACCAAAAAAAAGTAATTTTCTGTTTTGTTTTATTATTGGATCAGGCTTTAAAGGGTTAAACGTTAAATTGAATTTGAAGATCAAAGCTGAATCCATTTGAATTCTTTAGAACGGACTTAATAACATATTATATATAACAATATTACATCCTTTAGTCATATTCTGGGAAATGAGGGAATACCGATTCACCCAAAGCTCGATTGGGAAAAAAAAAAAAAGCTGGTTTGGTAAAACATGGAGGGGGAAAATGGCCTTTAGTCCAGTGTTTTTCAACCTGAGTGATGGTCAGGTGTGCCGTAGAAAATCATCCTATTTCACCTAATTGGTCTGAAAAGATTTTTTTTGATAATTTTCTGCAAATAATATTCCATTTTTGAGTGTCTGTGTTGTTCTAGTGACTGGTGGCGTAATCATGTAATAATTCCTTATGACTAGATTTTGTATTTAATTTTGCATATTGAAGTGGACATGTTAAGAGCAATTTGAGAGAAGAAATATAAACTATGATAAAAATACATTTTTGTGTTTATTTGATTCCTATTCAAGACACTTAAGATAAGATAAGAATAAAATAAGAATAACTATAGTGTTACTATAGGCGGCTACAGATTTGTTTAACATTTTTGGTTGGTGGTGTGCCTCGGGATTTTGTTAATGAAAAAATGTACCTTGGTTCAAAAAAGGTTGAAAAACACTGGATTAGAGGGGAGAGACTCAGATGGAAGAAGAAGTTAGTCTCGTCGATAATAGATCTAAGAGCACATTTCCTAATTTAACCAATTTCACACTAGTTATGAACAAGATTGGAGATGTGTTTGAAGCCACTGCCCGATTTCTAAAATCCCTTTGGCTGGTTTTATGAATTAAGTCTTTAAAATCCTCCTACTTTCACTGTCCAGATCCATAATGAGTCCTCTCAGAAATATACACAGAAAAACTGGAAAGTGCCTTCAACTTTCCCTGAATTTGAAAGTTTGAACGGACTTCCAGTGATGCAAAATTTTCTGACTTTGTCTGGATTTCGGTTGCATAACACAGACATTATTTCAATTAAAAAAAAATGTACCTAGGCTCAAAAAAAAGGTTGAAAACCAGTGCTCTAGAGCAGTGATTCTCAAACGGGGGTACGCGTACCCCTGGGGGTACGTGGAGGTACTGCAGGGGGTACGTGAAGCTTTTCAAAATATATTTTAAAAATCAGTAGGCTCCTCATAATAAGTCTTGGGAGAAATTATTCTGTAAAAAGTTCGATAGAATATAAATGTGTGTTCACGCACTGCATTTTATATTCAGTATTTAGTTTCAATATCCTTTAAAATAAAACGGACCCCCCCACCAAGTTAGTTTGACCCACGGACCCAGCGCACTTGTCAACGACCTGTCGTTACCATGGTTACGTTTGGCTTTAATAAATAAGACGGTGATTTTACAGCACTGTACCTCTTTTTTCTTCCAAAAGTGTTTTGCCTGTGTCAGGGGGGGTACTTGACTAAAAATATATTTTTAAGGGGGTACATCACTGAAAAAAGTTTGAGAACCACTGCTCTAGAGCAGTGTTTTTCAACCCCTGGTCCTCGGTACACTAGTGTGCCGTTAGTGATGGTCAGGTGTGCCGTAGAAAATCATCCTATTTCACCTAATT